TACTTTTGTTTAACGATCCATTGAATCGACAGCTCGGTATACAGTGGGAACACCGTTTTGAATAACACGAACCCCCTACTGATGACAATATGATTCAGGTGAACATGGGAGATGAGATTAATCCAAAACCCATATTCATAAGTGATAGTTTATCGCCAGAGGAGAAAGAAGACCTCATTACCCTAATTCGAGAATATATTGATGTCTTCGCTTGGAATTACGAGGACATGCCTGGGGTTATCTTGTAACCTTTATCTTGACTCCTTAAAAATATAAGAGTTGTTAGATTGTAACTCCCGATGTTGATTGTGAAAACTATTGAATTAGAGATTTCATCGATCTACGTGAAAGTTTTTAAATTATAACCTTCTAGAAGTCGTCAAATTATAACTTCCATCGTTGGTTTTTGATGAGGATAAGCTATCTGCAGTAATTTTTAAACAGTCTACACTCTTGTACAATTTTCTATGCAGTAATCCATATATCCCCTCTAGTGGCGAACATGTTTCTCATTCACAAAATCCATCGTCTTCACAAAATATGTCTCGGGAAATTAGGAGCTCTAGTATGATTCTCATTATATGGCACAATGCTATTAGAAGTGTTGGTCAATAATTTGATGATGTTGAGCGTTGTCGACAGAGTTTAAGTAATTACTCTATTGTACGAGGATTTAACTTTGAATTTGTAAAGAATGAACGCAAAAGAGTGACAACAAAATGCAAGGCCGACAAACTGCGAATGGATGGTTTATTGCACCCGTCGTAGAGATAGTGATCGATTCTATGTGAAAAAACTATAGTTCTTATAGTTGCTTGGGAGGAGGCATAGGAAAGGAAGAATATCACCGGGCATCTTGTAAGTGGAATGCTAATCATCTCAAGATCATATTGAAGGAACAACCCACTTATCGCCCAATTGATTTCTAGAAGAAGCTTAAAATAAAATTTGGTTTGGACATCCCTTATTATAGAATTTGGTGGGGGAAAGAGCTAGCTCTGTATGGTGATTATAAATTTTCGTATGACCAACTCCGATGGTATAAAGATAAAGTTATAAAAACTAATCTGGGATCAATTGTTCACTTAGAGCATGAAGACAGAAGATTTACACGAGTATTTGTGTCTTATTATACTTGTTGGAAGGGGTTTATGGAGGGATGTAGGCTAATGCTGTTCTTAGATGGTACACATCTTTTTGATAAGTATGGTAGAATTTAATCTAATCAAAACTTGTATTAATGTACCACTTCATAGTAAAATATTATACTTTGTTTCATGATTGTTTTTTTCTTTTATAGGTATAAAGAAACCTTATTTCCTGCAACTGCTCTAAATGGAGATGGATGTATATTTCCCGTAGCAATTTACATTGTAGGATGGAGAATGAGAGTAATTGGGAATGGTTTTTGGAATGCATTCGAGATATTCTCTTCAATGATAAAGATCCATATACTCCAGATGATGAACTAGTGTTAATCTCTGATAGGGACAAAGGACTTTAGAATTCCGCGAAGAAATGTTTTCCATGGTCACATCACTCTTATTGTATTCGTCATCTTTTGGCTAATTTTAAGAATAAGTCACATCACTCTTATTGTATTCGTCATCTTTTGGCTAATTTTAAGAATAACTTATCGAAAAAGGCATTATACCACCTTTACGAGATGAATGCGTCATCTTTTGGCTAATTTTAAGAATAACTTATCGAAAAAGGCATTATACCACCTTTACGAGATGAATGAGTACAAATTATGAAGAGGGCTGCTTATGCATACATTTCTCATTTCTATAACAATGAATGCAATGAGCTACGGAACAAATCAGAGATCGCCTACAACGAAATGTTGAGGATGAGTCCAGAAAATTGGGCTAATTGTTATTTTTCTAGGAAGAGATTAAAATATAAATTTATGCAAAATTTTAAATACAAATCTTCATGATATATGTTCATGTTATACTTACTATTTATTGACATACATGCAGATATGGATGGTTGATATCAAATGTAGCGGAGTCATTCAATTTTTGGATCAAAGAAGCTCGTTATTTGCCAATTACCCAAACAATTGATAAAATTCGCAAAAAATAATGAGGATGAGTTTTAAAAGGTGGGAGTCATCCCACAAGTGGACCACAGCATTTGTTCCTACTATAAAAGAGCACCTTATTCATATTAATGAGCAATCATGTTGTCTTTCTGCAATTCCTTCTACTATAGGAAGGTACGAAGTGTATGATTTCCCCACTGTTGAAGTAGATTTGAATGAACGCACATGCACTTGTCATGAATGGCAATTTGTGCTGGCTACCTTGCAAACATGCGGCGATGATTATTTAACAGAATAATGACACATTTTACTCCTATATTTCTCACTACTTTAGTGTGGAGACATACTGCAAATGCTACTCTTTTCTGATATACCCAATTCCTGACGATGAAAAACCATATATAGATGATGAAAATATGGTGATTCGACCACCGACAATATCAATTCTTTGTAAAAGACCAAGGACAAAGTGCATTCCTTCAGCATTGAATCAGGGTAAAGAGTTCAAATGTAGTAGATATCAACAGTATGTTCACAACCGTAGAACATGTAGACAACCTATTGCAGACTATATATATTGTACGCTATACTTTTGGATGTAAGACATGCTATACTTTTGGATGTAAGACATGCTATAATTTTTAGATGTAAGACATGCTATACTTTTTAGATATAGGATAACATGCTATACTTAGAGTATAACATGTTATTTTTATAGTAAAATGTGCTATAGTTATAGTAAAATGTGCTATACTTATAGTATAGCGTGTTATACTTACAGGTTAACGTGTTATACTTACAGGATAACGTGCTATACTTATAGGATAACATGCTATGCTTATAGTAAAAGTGTTATACTTATAGTATAACATGCTATTCTTACAGTAAAATGTTTTATACTTACAGTAAAACGTGCTATACTTATAGTATAACATGCTATACTTATATGATAACATACTATACTTACATGATAACGTGCTATATTTATAGGATAATGTACTATACTTACAGTAAAACGTGCTACACTTACAGTGTAACATGCTATACTTATAGTATAACGTTCTATACTTACATGATAACGTGTTATACTTATAGTATAACATGCTATACTTCCATGATAATGTACTATACTTATAGTATAATGTGCTATACTTACAGTATAATATGCTATACTTACAGTATAACGTGCTATACTTACAGATTTCGTGTTATACAAAAAAATGCAATGCTCCATCAAGGGAGAAGAAACTAGATGCAATGATCCAAGTCTTGGCAAACATCTTGTTTAGCTCCTTAGCTTGTCATCAACCAAAAAAATGCTCGTAATACGAATAAAATAGACTAGAATATATCTATCATTAAATCTACCACAGAAGCCACAAAACACCAGTAATTTAATCGAAGAATGCAATTGATAAACTATATACAACATCCCAGAATTATGGCGGAACATTACATAACCAATTGCAACAGTAGTCCCACTAACAAACATATATTCATACTGACAAACATATATTTATACAAATACTTTACTAATCAATTTCCAAACATATATTTATATACACAAAAAATATTGGATATCACATTTGGCATCTAGCATCCGAGGAATTGGTCTTGAAGATCACGTTGATATCCTGAAATCAAAATATAAGCGGATCAAAAGAACAATAGACTGAATATAAGCGATTCAATTAACATTACACTTATGGAAAATATACTTTCAGATAGAAATAGTGCAACGATACAAGCTTTATGTCTTGTACAATCCTTTTGGTCAATTAAAATTGGTTGATCGGAAATGAGGCTAAACATGTATGCCATCAAGAACACCCCACAATCCAAGCACTGCAAGTTCAAATGTTTTTAATATCAATATAACACTCTTGGCCCGCAATATATAGTTTCTATGTGTTAGCACATACAAAAAAACAACAACATATGAATAAGTCGAATACACTAACCCACGTTGTTGAGGTATGTTAAAACTTTCTATCTCTTGACAAAAAGTAATGTCCAAATTCCAAGCATCAGGAATGGTAGAAATAAGCTTCACTCTAAAATCACTAGCATCAGACATATATCCGCGAAGAAAAGAATAATGATAAAATCTTCTATCCTTTACAGAGAATACCAATATATGCCAATGAAATGAAGTTATAAGTGGGAAAATAATCTTATCAAGTGCATGGAATCGAGTAGTCGTTATTGGCTTAAACATTCGATCCACACTCGACGAGTTATTTTTATTGATGCATCTCTAAAAAAACAAAGAAAGTTAAGATTATGTATTTAATATAGCTTATGAATAATACTTATAATCTCAGATTGGATTTCTACTTACAGTTACCGTTGGACTACATATGTGTATGTCCTTTGCATAATTTGGACGCGTCTCCATCAACCTATTTAGAAGCACAACATAGGAGGGTATAACCTAAAATGTAGATAATAAAATTATAAATATTAGTGTTATATACTACACGTGCATTGTGTGAAGCATGAAAAGAACGGATACTTACCTCGCAACTAATTGCCTCTCCTTTAAGTAATTCCAGTACATCCTTACGTGTTATCAACACATCTCTAGATGATCACACTAATATCTCACTATATATGAAACAAATTTATAACATGTATTAATGAAAAAACTTAGTACAAGTTGAAAAGTAAATCATTCAAAATACACTTACGTGACCATATTCTTCTCCTTCCAAAAGTTATCTAGCAGTTCTCTCTCGTCATCCCTTACTTCCTTCCCAGATAATTTGGTCATCCTTTTCTATTAATAAGCAGGACAAAGGGAGAATGCATTGATGGTCCAGCATGCCAAGATCTCGAGAGAACTGTTCTTTTGATGGAAGGGGTTTTACGCATGCCTTCAATCAACCCAACATCGCGCGGGCTAAGAACAAAAGGCGTCGTCATCCACTTTCATTGAATCCATGCCCACTTAATCATTACCACCATCCCCACCATCATCTTTATCTACATTCAATCTATCAACATCTTCACCAACCTCCGCATCCCCACCGACATCCTCATCCATATCTCCACCATTCCCCTCCTCATCCTCCTCATTCCCCTCATCACCCCCCTCCTCATCCTCCTCGTTCCCCTCATTATTTCCCTCCTCATCCTCCCCATTCCCCTCATCATCCCCCTCCTCGTTCCCCTCATCCTCATCACCACCATCACTATCATCCTTATCATCCATGCCATCCTTATCTGCTCCATCACTATCAACATCCTCTTCCTCCTCACCAAATTTATCCCTCCTTATCTTTAAGAGAAGGTCTAATTCTACTTTTTTTCAAGTATGAGCTGATCCAACTCAGCTTTGGTGATTACCTATACATAAATAACCCAAGTAAAGTTCAATTCATGGGTGAACATCAAATAAAAATTATTTTATAAAAGCATGGGGAGCAATTAACTAACATGGAATAAAAATAAAAAAATATATATATACCTCTCTCTCTCTTCAATCTTGTAGGGACAGATTCAGTAGCAGTGGATGTAGTGGTAGCTTTTCTCTTTTCAAATTTTAGAGCCCTCGATTCGATAACATGCTTCCTAAAATTATCCAGGTCTCTAATTAAATCTTGTACTGTACTCCTCCGTAAAGATCTCGGACTCTTGTAGAAGCTTAGGATGGATGGTAGAGATTCTGCTCCAACGCGATGACTTAATTTTCCCACAAGCTCATAAAATCAAATCTGTGAGAAAATAAAAATTTTAGCTCAACAATAAACATGACTAAATGACATAAATATATACAATTCAAATCTGTGAGAAAATAAAAATTTTAGCTCAACAATAAACATGACTAAATGACATAAATATATACAATGGAGAATGACATAAAAAAAAATTTTAGCTCAACAATAAACATGACTAAATGACATAAATATATACAATGGAGAATGACATAAAAATGTAGTAAAGGTTAACTTACCACCAAAACCGAGGCAAAACCCCTCATATAACCACCTCTAGATCGATTTCCCTCAGACATCTTAGTAATGGTTTTCTTAGCCTTATCCATCGCAGTATGCAACACATTGTATACTAATTCAGCCCAATTATACTCCTTAAGAGTGCCCAATTTTTAGTATATCTAAATGCAAACAAGGGACAACTCATACTAGCTTGAGAGCATAATATAAAGCCTATAATGAAAGCCACGAGCATCTGTAGTAAAAGAGGTTCTCTATGCTCGACCATCTGCTTGATAAGTTCACTCATTCTATCTCTTCTAGCACACACAATATTTTTCTTACCCTCATCACTTTTCTTCTTTCCTCTTCTAGTCCTACGCTTCATATCTTCTTCAATTTTAGCCTTCATACTATATGAAAGCACAAGCTTATAGATTGTATCACGATCACTTCTATAAAACCGCGTATCTACTATAGATCCTCCCATCGGAAGACCCGTAATTCTCCCAACTTCTTCAACACAAAAGGAGGTTCATTTTCCTCCAATTTTGAAACTACTTTTTTCAATATTAAATACTCCCAACAAACAATCCACTATAACTACTAGTTACATTGGAAGATCTGGAACATCTAAATACCCATAAAATAGAGTATCTCGAAGGGCAGTTTGTTGGTCTTCCGATAAATTATCAGAAATTTAGTTTTGAAGAAGGTCCCAGAAGTACCCAATGTTGGATGCAATTCATACTAAAGCCATGAAATAGAATTTTCTGCAACCATAAAACATAAGACAACTTTAGTTGTTTATCAATATTATACATAATTCCTTCATTAAAACAAATTTTAAAGCCTATGATTTCAAAATTGTAACAGACAATCTCATTTCTTGAATTACCATGCTTGAGCTTTATATAAAGTATTTACAGCCTATGATATTTTTTCCTTTTCTCGCTTAGTGAAAAAAATCTTGTAACAGACATATGTACAATATCAAATTAAACTCCAACAACATTTTTTTCATTTCCTTTTCTTTTGGTAATATTTTTGTATCAAATGTTAACAAATAGAACTTTTGTATCAAATGTTAACATATGTACAATAACAAACATTTGGCATCTAGCATCCGGGGAATTGGTCTTGAGGATCACGTTGATGTCTCAGAATTGTGACTGAATATATTGCATAAAAAACAACTATATGCAATAATTTATGAATTTATAAAAAATGTAAGAAAACCAATATCGTTCCTCAGTTATAAAGTCATGAATTCAAAACAATATAAACGCTTCAACTAAGCTAAAATTGTTGAGTTTAAGAGCCAGTAATTTTCCATGCAGTCAATATCCAAATATCAAAACCAACAATGAAAAAGATCGACGACAAGCCAGTCAATGCTCATGCTAATCAGTACCTCAAACGGCGAAGTCGATGGCAATGGCGAGTTCGACGGTAACGGTGACTGGGACGGCAGCGGGCGACGACTGGGACAAGCGACAACGACTACGAGATGCGTCGGCAGCAAGGGGGCTGCGAGATCGACAATGATGACTGGGACGGAAACGAGGCGACGACTGGGATGGAAATGAGGCGACGGAGCAACTAAGAGATCGACGACAACGGTCGATCAAGAGGTCGACGGCAACGGTCGATCGAGAGGTCAACGGCAACGGCGACAACGACGACGGCTAGAGACAGGCGTTGGCGGCAAGGGGGCTTTTATTTTTTTAATTTAGGGTTAAGTTGAAAAGGGGAAGATGAGGAGAGATACTGGTTTATATGGGGAAATGGGTATTTTGGGGGTTTTTACCTTGATTTTGTATAAATACATATGCTAAAAGTATTGTATTTTAAAAATTGAGTTTAAAGACAAATACAAAAAATGAACTGGGCTTAAAGATACAACAAATAATGGGTGGGTTTAAAGATAAAGTAAAGTAAATAAATATACCTAGAAACAAAAACCCCTAATATTTATTGTCCGATTTTTTGTTCTCTGCATCACCTAGAGGCTAGCTTACTTATAAACTAATGTTTGCTATAAGGTCACAGCGAAAATGACTTCTTTTTTATGAGAACAGGAGTAGATAAAGGTCACTGCCTCGTGGAATCTTGCAAAATAATAAAAAAGCATATTCTGTATAGTTTGAACCGATCAATAGCCAATAAGATATCTTGATGAGATACTACTTTCATAAGGTAAAGGAAAGGTTATTGTATACTATTATTATCACACGTGCTTATTTTTTATTATATTTTTTATTCATTTTCTTACTTGAGCTAATTCTTTTAATGCAATTGGATATATTATTTAGTAGTTGTTGACACAAGATTATATATTCATCTAATTCAGTACTCTACATTTACTTATCGGTTAAAAGATGAGTCTGACATATGCATAGATCTCATCATACGTGAACCTGTAAATTAAATCTTAATTAGTTTTGCTTTGTATATACAAATTATTTTGGACCTAAGTTATTTAGTAAACGAGAATGAGAAAGCGATGTAAATTTATTCTCTTTTTCTTTTTCTGTTTTTTTCTTTGTAATATTGACTAATATAGTTAAATTCAATTGGTTTTCTAACATATAGCTCTCTTGATTTTTTGTACTTTTCGGTCAACAAAACAGAAAAACCTCTGCAGGTGCTTCCTGAGAGAACAGTACAAGCGTGCAGTCCATCTGTATTGCACAATAAACACTATTTAATGTCTTCAATCTTAACCATTTATCATTTTATAGACAGCCTATAATCTTGTTCCAAGTAGAAAAAAATGCAACATGGTATTTATATGTTTGAAACGAACTGTAAAGATTAATTCATATAAAAATCAACAGAGGCTGGAGCTTCGAAATTGTGCGTGCATATATATATAGATTAATTCATATAAAAATCAACAGAGGCTGGAGCTTCGAAATTGTGCGTGCATATATATATATATATATATATATATATGTATATATATATAATTATGACAGAGCAGGATTGAGAGAGAAGAGAGAGAGAGAGAGAGCATTGGATAAGATGAGCTAAAATGAAACTGAAAGATATTTTATTTTCCTTGATTTCACATCTACATCTTAACAATTAACTACTGCAATTCAACAAATCTCTATAGACCCAACTAAAGGCAATTTTTTTTTAATTTATAAATATTGATGATGAGCCCATGGAAACTTCAATTCTATACTCTCTTTCTGAATACCTTTTCTACCCTTGCAAACCCCTACTGCCGAACCTCACGGCCCGTTCACCCGCCGTTAGAGTCCACAGCCTAACAACCGCCTGCGTCAATCGCCCCTGTCCTGGTGACGGTACACCAAGTCCCCTCTCATCATTCCATCCACTCCGAGTTCATGAGATCTCGTCACGTCACCATTCTACTTCGCCACGTCGCATTCCTCCTCCTCCCACCTCTCCCTCAGTACGGAGTAGTTACAGTGAACCTGCTCTTCGATGGGGACCCCGCGGCTCCCCCCATCACGTGGATGGCGTAACTGGAGTCGGGGAATGAGGGTGAATTCATTACTGTGGGGGCCCGGTGCTCGACTTCTGGCGGTTGCGTTCTGAGGAGAGCGGAGGCCGACCGCGGCGGTGAGGGCGGCGATCAGGCGGCGGTGGAGAGTTATATATCTCTATATTTTGGGTTTCTATGGGGCGGGGGTATTCTGGGAAAGGCGGAGGAGGTGTATCTTCGGCGAAGAGAGGCAAACATTTTTCTTTTCTTTTCTTTTAGCGGGGGTATTTGGTAGTTGAGATGAGGCAATTGTGTGGAATATTTATTGAGGAGCGATCGTGAGCGGGCAAGCATGCTCAAGAGGAGGGAATCGAGGGTGCGAGATGCTGAGGGAGATGCTCATGCATGCACAGACTAAGTTTTGGTGGGGTCCCGTGTGCTTTTGTGTGAATATCGGAAGCTTGGCAATGCGGGTAATTGCGACGGTCGCTTTCGGTGTTTGCGCGCTGATGATCCTTAACACGCGTATGGTGGAGAAGTTGTGTAAGCATTGCCCCCCCCCCCCCCCCCCCCTAAACCAAACAAAAAAAAAACTCTGATTTTAATTTGTATATTAAAGGGAAAAAATGTTTTCAAGGCCCCCAAAAAAAGTGGCGATGTGGCCCAGCCCCACCAAATTTATCTCCCTTAGCCTTTAGCCCAAAAATGGTGAAAATTGTGGCCCAGACCCAAAAGCCCACCTTATACATGTACTCCATGTATTTCCAAATGGATCCGAAATGCCTCATCTCTGCACCCTACTTGAATATTCCCCTTTAGGCCCTAACGCGAAATTCGACGCGAAAATAGAGAGAAGCTACGCCGGGACCGTCAGTCCAATCACGTGAGCCCACTTCATCAGACGCCGGTCCTCGTTCGGTCGGCGCGGGCGGGTGCGTCGGCACTGCCGATGTCACCGCGACATTGTCTCTCTCCCGCTCCAACTATCCTTCTCCTACGCCGGCACGCCACAGCATCAAGCAGCGTCGAGTTCGCAAGTGCAGCGCACGTTTTTTTTTGCTTTTTATATATTACTCATTGGAGGTAAGGCTTAAAACTAGCTCCCTGACATTATATCCCCTCAAAGACAAAGGTCTTTAGAACCAGAGAGAGAGAGGAAGGCGTTGGGGGGGGGGGGGGGGGCGGGGATGTATGGAGACTCAAGCTAATATGAGCCACTGGTAAGAGAGGAAGAG